TATGTGTGTGTGTGTGTGTGTGTGTATGTGTTCACAGAAAAGTAACCATCTAGTGGATTAAGTACCTGACAAATTGTGATACTAATCACGCTCACACAAAAATCCAGTCAATTCAATATTGCCCATAATGGCTTACAACAATGACAGATATAAAAGAGATACAGATGGTACTGAAAGGGCTCCAGTCAAACATGATCCAAAATGCTGTCAACCTGAACAAATCCATTGTCACTGGCAAATTCAGAATGTGCTACCAAATAACAGTCGCCATCGAAAAGAGCAATACTACATGGTACTTTTCCTGCACTTGACAGTTTTCACTCGCAGTTTACACACACTGGTGATTATGAGAGAGCACATGTTTTGAGTGGGCTTTTTCCAGTCAGGTATTAGACTGACTAGACTAGACTAGACTAGACTAGAACACAGACACAAGACAGGACATTAAAATAACTGTTTAACTAGTAACCAAGCTTGAGTGGACTGACATATTTGATGTCATGGTGGGGTACACTTCCCACAGAATATCACTCTGTGATATACTGGTGAATTCTCAGGCATGTGGTTCTCTGAAGTGTTGATCAATTTCTTGACCTTGCTCTGGCTGCAGTTCACCTATCAAAGGTCAGGAATATTCTTGGAAATCCATAACTAATGAGAACTGTGATATTTCACACCAATACTTCTGGGCTCAAGCAGTGTAGCTGACACACAATGTGTGTGTGTTATCAGTGTTTATATATGTCAACTAGGGACACACAGACAGTGTGAGCAGCTTGCACTGCTGTTTGACAAACAGGGTAGACAAGGTTGTGGCAGACAGATCACAGTCCCTGGAAAAGAGCTACTGAGATGTAGCTGGCCTGAGGCAAATTCTATTACCTAATGTGTTAAAAATTCTGCCGCTCTACAGAAATTTTTAGCCTCTTCTCTGCTAATTTGGCTTATTGTTTTGGTTGTACAGCACATTCACTGTATGGCTCAGCTCTTATCAACCTCAGCTTTCTTAAAAAAAAAAAAAAAAAAAAGCTGTGATTTACATCTAACAGATAAAGAGCAAGACACTTTTCTCAGGAGTTGGTAATCAAAAATGAACTAAAACAAGAGTGAGTATTGAAGTTTCTTTATCAGGTGGCCAGAGACACTGCTCCAAATGAAAGCTGACTCTCTGTGTCTGCTGAGTGTGTCAGAAGTCAAGTGTTTTCTAGCACATTTGTAATGATAACTTTATGAGTCAGGAATTTAGTAACTGAGTATCTGTGAGCTTGTTTTGATCACCAGCTGTGACAAAGTCGTGACAGCTGGTTTTGTTTTTATGTTGTGAGTCTGTGTGTGTGTGTGTGTGTGTGTGTGTGTGACAACAACAAGATGTGGCCCTGGAGATGGCTACTACTGCTCTATTTACTTGGAATCTACTGTGGACATCTTTAGATCTCCAGCCTAAATAAGGATACAGCATATTCTACTACATTCAAAGATGGCTGACAGCCAGGTTGAAGGCCAGTAATATCGAGGCCCAAAAGCTTACAAATAGCACTAAAAGGCTATCTGACCACTCAAAACTCAATACATGATACAGCGACTACAATACATCAAATGTGGTATAAAAAAAAAGAATTAAACTATTCTTCTAAGCTCTAATAAAATGGCAAAATAAATATATTTGTTGAGTATTTTGCCTCATATCAAGATCATGAACATTTATCAATCACAATTATTAATCCATCTCTTGGATTAAAAACAAAATGTACTGGGGTGTCGGTGGCTTAGTGGTAGAGCAGGCGCCCCATGTACAAGGCTGTTGCCGCAGCGGCCTGGGTTCGAATCCAGCTTGTGGCCCTTTGCTGCTTGTCATCCCCTCTCTCTCCCCCGTTCATACCTACCTGCCCTGTGCATTAAAGGCAAAAATGCTCAAAAAAAATCTTAAAAAAAAACCCAAAAAACAACAAAAGCAAAACGTACTGACAAACGCAAAAACTTAGTTTCTTAAGCATTCTATTAATTGTTAACATGTCATATTATGACACTGTTAACTCCAGATAACCTCCCCTGTGCTGCCATGCAGCAAATGCTTGCTGAGATGCCATCCTGGACATGCAAACAGGCAACATCATCAGCATCATCCCTTGTCCTCCCTCCAAGCTCCTCACCGTGCAGTGGAGACCCTGAGGGACTGCTGGACAGGCCAGGAATGGGGCTACAGCGGCCCCCGATGCCACCTCCTCCGCCTAGGATGCAGCCACCCCCTCCTATGCCTCCTGTACCAGCTCCTCCTCCTAACGCAGCCACCCTGTTTAGTTCCTGTTCAATCTCCTCCAGGCCAGCACTCTTCTGGAAGCGAGACATCCGGTTGACCACCCGTGGGGACATGTGCGTGCGAGCACAGGCTGCACCACCATAGGGGTTGACGGGAAATACATGGGTCGTGCCACGGAGAGTGCTGATGGCTACCCAGCGACTGTCCTGACTGAAACACATGTCCTGGACCTGGACAGAGACAGAACAGGTACAGAAGGAGGGGAAAGAGGGTGGGGAAAGTAGGAAGATGAGACAGAGAATGTGCAGAACAAATTAAGGATGAAATTGAAATGAAACTCTGTGGTGCTGCTCCTCTTCTCCATATTTGAACAACCTCATAAATGTCTTGTGTTGTACTCATCCAACAGGAAAAAGTTCTTAAACAGTCCTTACATCTTGAAACAAAACTATAAAACATGATGTTTGGAGATTTGCTTGTCTAATATTATTTCAAAAAGCCCAGCGGTGTCAGCAAAGCATACAAGGTCAGTTAACAGTTAAATCCCAGCATCATGTTGGAAGAGTTAAATACTTAATGAAGGTATCAATGGTATCAATGTTCATTATTATTATTTAACATACTATACTATTCTGATTTCTAGTCTGATTTGTATTATCCCAAGCCCGTTTTTTGCATTTGTGGTGCCCCCTAGAGGTCAACTTGAATGAAACTCTCAGGATATGTTCCTGGTACCTTTTAAGACATTGCTTGAAAGGTTTGTGATGATTGACCAAAAAGTTGTGGAGTTATGTGCTGAGCCACACCCCTCTGCAGTTCATTGGTCAATGTCTTCAAAAAGCAATGAAATATCAAAAACAGTAAAAGCATTGGTGATAAAATTCTGGAAAAAAATCTCACACCATTCTGCTGATTTCAGGTACATTCTCAAATATTTCGGTGACATTTGGTTCAAAATGAGATGAAATAGAAAATGTTGTCCATACAGTACAAATTACAACAAGATAATGAATATCACTGTGAGCTAACCGTTAAACCGATCTGAACACCAATTGAAACATGTAACATCTAGTATCCAAAGAATATGTGTGTCAACTGTGGTTGCATTTAGATGAAGACTTCTGGAGATATTGATCTTAATTAATTTTGGATATTCTACAAAATGACGGACTTCTGAATTGACTATAAGTTGCAGTGCAGCAAACTTTTCTCAGCTATGTAGGACACACTGGTAATTGATTATGATTTTTTTCAAGTATGGAATGTGAAATGTCTTGACATTTAGATTTAATGGAATAAGCCATGCCCCCTTTTAAGCAATAATTTTTAAATTTTGTGCATCAACTGAGACATGTTCAAATGATGCAAACCAAGTTTCGTACAAATATCTCTAGCTGATTATGAGATGTCAACTTTTTGCATATGTAGCACCCCTTATTAGTCGATTTGAATCAAACTTTCAGGGAATGATTCACATACTTCTGTAGACATTTCCCACAAGTTTTGTGATGATTGGCTCAATGGTTAAGGAGTAAAATCCAATTAATGTGCTGAGCCATGCTCCCTCTAAATGTCACTGGTCAGTATCATCAAAACACAATGACATATCAAAAAGCTTTTGAAGAGCTTCATCCCATGATGATCCACACAAAGTTTGGTACAAATCAGACCTATGCCTTAGGAGGATATGTCAGAAATCTGAGATATGTCAGAAGGCAGACCTTGAGGGTTCTTGAGGTTTTCGTAGAACCCTTTCACCTGAACATGTGTGTTGAATTTCAAGTCAATCTGACATATGGTGCAAGGGCGGTGGCCTTTCAAAACAAAATTTCTTCTAACCTTCATTATGGTGCCCCAATCTGGCCTATTGCCATTATATTTCTTGAGCACCATTTGCACACAACTTCCAATCACTGATGAAAATTGAATGTCTCTACAATGTACCATCGGAATTTGCAAAAACATTTCTGAGTAATATTCATATAAAAAATTCAGTTATTGAAACAAAAATCTGAAAATACACATATTGCATCTAGACAGCATGGAGATGTTGGTAATTTATTTGTAACAATGATTGATTTGCTCTATAAGTGAAAAACTGATGTTTAAAATTGCCATTTTTACATTGAATCCAATTGTTCACATTAGAGCAAAATTCAAAATGTTGTCAAAAATTCAGTTTTTGAGATAAAATTCTGAAATTTTCCACACATCATCTACCATGACTCTAGAATTTTGTCACTTTTTTCATGAACACTGAAGATTTATTTAGCAAGAATTTGCATGTATATGTTTACAGTCAAACATTTTGATGCACTGTAGGCTCAATTTTTGATCAATCAAAAATCTGAGAAACTTAGTTTTTGTAGGACAGTCTGAAGATGCTCTGTAGCAACTTTGGTGTCAATTGAGCAAAAATTGTGGGAGGAGATAGGTTTAAGAAGTTTTACAGTTTTTGAAAAAAAAAAAAAAAAGTGATGAACTTCATAATTTTTAATAGGTTTAAATGTACACACGTTTCTTCAGTATTGGGGCTACAGTTTGAGTTTTGTTCTGAATTTTCAAAGTTTTGAACTTTAGATGCTTGCTGTAGCGCCACCATCAGGACTATTGGCTTGAGTTTACAGCTGAGGATATCTGGCATGAGACTGGACCTTTGTGCAAAGTTTGGTGAGTTTTCACCCATGGGAAGTATGATTTCCTCAGAAGAAGAAAGAAGAAAGAAGAAGAATACCTAGGATTACAATAGTGTCCTGGCAGCTTAGCTGCCTGGACCCTAATAATAAAACAGGACAAAAACAATGGGGTTTTAGCCCTTCGGGCTTGATCCCCTAATAAAAATAATTATAATAAAAAATGATAATAATAAGAAGAATGCATTTTATTTGTAGGTGCCTTTCAAAGTACTCAAGGACACCTTACAAGACACATTTTAAAACAAGCAGCGATGCATCCATAGATCATAAAGTCAAACAAATTGGTTATGAATAGTAATAAGTTAATAAAATAACTAGACAAAAATCATAATAGTAAAAACTAGGTATAAAATCAACATCAGTGCAAATTTCAGTGTGTGCATCACCATTAAATCAGACCGAATACGCCAGCTTAAAAAGGCGTGTTTTCAGACAGGATTTAAAGGTCGAAAGGGAGTCAATATTGTGAATGTCATGGGGGAGAGAGTTCCAAAGGCGAAGGTCAGAATGGCTGAAGGCTCTAGAAGCCATGGTAGTCAAGCAGGCAGATGGTGATGTGAGCTGGATTGCAGAAGAGGATCTAAGAGTACTGGAGGGTGTGTAGATATGAAGGAGTTCCGTCAGATACAGAGGAGGTTAGGTTATGAATGGCCTTAACGGTGAGAAACAAAGTCTTCCCATTATGATATTTAACAGGAAGCCAGTGAAGCTGCTGAAGAACGGCAGTGATATGATTTATAGAGAGGGTTCTAGTAATGATACAGGCAGCTGAATTCTGGACCAACAAGAGTTTATGAAGACACCTGAGAGGGAAACCAAAGAGGACAGTTGCAATAATCAATATCACCAAAGGGTGAACAAGAGTAGCGGTGCTGTTCAGCGTAAGCAACGTGTGAAGACAATTAATATTGCGTAAATTTAAGTACACTGAACAAAAATATAAACGCAACACTTTTGTTTTTGCTCCCATTTTTCGTGAGCTGGACTCAAAGATCTAAAACTTTTTCTACATACACAAAAGACCATTTCCCTTGAATATTGTTCACAAATCTGTCTAAATCTGTGTTAGTGAGCACTTCTCCTTTGCCGAGATAATCCATCCCACCTCACAGGTGTGGCATATCAAGATGCTGATTATTGCAGAGGTGGCCACAATAAAAGGCCACTCTAAAATGTTCAGTTTTATCACACAGCACAATGCCACAGATGTCGCAAGTTTTGAGGGAGCGTGCAATTGGCATGCTGACTGCAGGAATGTCCACCAGAGCTGTTGCCTGTCAATTGAATGTTCATTTCTCTACCGTAAGCCGTCTCCAAAGGCGTTTCAGACAATTTGGCAGTACATCCAACTGGCCTCACAACCGCAGACCACATGTAACCACACCAGCCCAGGACCTCCACATCCAGCATGTTCACCTCCAAGATCGTCTGAGACCAGCCACCCGGACAGCTGCTGCAACAATCGGTTAGCATAACCAAAGAATTTCTGCACAAACTGTCAGAAACCGTCTCAGGGAAGCTCATCTGCATGCTCGTCATCCTCATCGGGGTCTCGACCTGACTGCAGTTCGTCGTCGTAACCGACTTGAGTGGGCAAATGCTCACATTCGATGGCGTCTGGCACGTTGGAGAGGTGTTCTCTTCACGGATGAATCCCGGTTTTCACTGTTCAGGGCAGATGGCAGACAGCGTGTGTGGCGTCGTGTGGGTGAGCCATTTGCTGATGTCAACGTTGTGGATCGAGTGGCCCATGGTGGCGGTGGGGTTATGGTATGGGCAAGCGTATGTTATGGACAACGAACACAGGTGCATTTTATTGATGGCATTTTGAATGCACAGAGATACCGTGACAAGATCCTGAGGCCCATTGTTGTGCCATTCATCCACGACCATCCCCTCATGTTGCAGCATGATAATGCACGGCCCCATGTTGCAAGGATCTGTACACAATTCCTGGAAGCTGAAAACATCCCAGTTCTTGCATGGCCAGCATACTCACCGGACATGTCACCCACTGAGCATGTTTGAGATGCTCTGGATCGATGTATACGACAGCGTGTTCCAGTTCCTGCCAATATCCAGCTACTTCGCACAGCCATTGAAGAGGAGTGGACCAACATACCACAGGCTATAATCAACAACCTGATCAACTCTATGCGAAGGAGATGTGCTGCACTGCGTGAGGCAAATGGTGGTCACACCAGATACTGACTGGTTTTCTGACCCCCCCAGACCCCCCCAATAAAGCAAAACTGCACATTTCAGAGTGGCCTTTTATTGTGGCCAGCCTAAGGCACACCTGTGCAATATTCATGCTGTCTAATCAGCATCTTGATATGCCACACCTGTGAGGTGGGATGGATTATCTCGGCAAAGGAGAAGTGCTCACTAACACAGATTTAGACAGATTTGTGAACAATATTTGAGGGAAATGGTCTTTTGTGTATGTAGAAAAAGTTTTAGATCTTTGAGTCCAGCTCACGAAAAATGGGAGCAAAAACAAAAGTGTTGCGTTTATATTTTTGTTCAGTGTA